TCGGATTATGTACAATGCATTACCCCTCGTCCCCTTTTTGTCTGTTGGGTATATAACAATTGTAACTAAAGTACTCTTCAGTTCTAGTGCATTTGCCCCGTTTACGTTCTATCTTTGTCCACTATCATTTTTCCGCGGTTGTTTTCCGACTGAATGGATCGAACCGTGTCTTTTTCGAGCTTCTGACTCAGTTGGAGAATCGGTGAAAACGTTTATTTGGTTTTAACATTCACTTAGCTATGTGAATGGTCTTAATTGAACGAGTCCCCCCCCCACCCTCAACTGCGTGATTTTCCCCGTCGCATTATGGGGGCCTGACAGTCCTTGTTCAAAAGCGTAGATCGTAGACCGTAGTTCAAACTCGGTCACAGCCATCCGGTTTTGCAGGACGACATCGTCTTTGTTGCTTGGCTCTGCGCCACGCTTGTTCCATACGAAACCGATTTGTAGTTTGCCGCTTCAAGTTACACATTCAACGTTTTCGGTTCCCACAACCTCGTAACCACGAGGTTTGGCTGTTCCACTGATCAGGACACATAGATACGTTGTTAAAGTGTCTCAGGTGACGCATGAATCGGAATTTTAGTGAAACCACTAATGTCTTGTTTGTGAACAAGTTAACCTCGACTGTCTTGTGGCATTTTCTAAATGGGCTGGTGCGCGCCGGAACAGACAGCACCCATGAGGTGTTTAGTAAGGCGAGGCAGGCTAGTGTGTGTGTGTGTGTGTGTATTCCCACGCGAACCGAAACTTTCTGCTGAAAAACAAAAAAATAAGATACGACCGGTTGAACTGGTCACAGTTTTTATTGAATCGGAGAGGAGCGAAGCGAAATGCATTGTATAGTTTAGGTGGTGCTTGTAAATTGAATATCATGTTTCATCTAGCTTATTCGGTAACACTTGCACTAGGCATTGTGTATTGTTTCTTTTTTACTTTGCTTGTTTTGAATGTGAGTTGTAGTTCTTTGGGAGTTCGGTTTTTCCTCACATTTCCCATGCTTGAGATCGAAATTCTTTTCTGTATTGCTCAACAAAGAGTACTCAAACAGCAGTCTCGCCGTTGGTGGAAATTGTTAATTTTGTGTCCTAACTGGGACGGAAACCGGGAACCTTTCTTTCCATTGTGGACCGATACCCTTAGACATACGATAGGACGATTGGAAACATGTTTTCTGAATCCATTCAACTCTCAGCATAAATAATTTGATGTTGTGACATACACGAATATAATAGCAGTAGGAGCGTTTCTACTCCAAGTAATGGGGGAATTTATCGTCTATGGAAATCTCAAAACACCTGTATATCTGATAATGCACCATCCAAAACCCACGGGTCTCGTGTTTTCTTGGGCAGTGTTCATCAGTTCCATGTGTGCCATTAGTCCACAATGGTTGTGGTATTCATATGACTAGTGCGAACCTGTTTGTGATTAACAACAGTACCGAATTGACCACATTTGGATTCGCCTATACGAACCGCCTGCCTGTTTGGAACAATTTACGCCCTGTGGTCCGTTTAATATCGGGTTCAACAAGTGTTTTTTTGTTCGTCACGTGTTCTCGCTTTGATCCGCTCGGTAACAGTACTCACACTCTTTTTCAGTCTTTGAATTTGAGTACATTTTTTACTTCATTTGATGAGTTTTCTTAGAAGGACTCTGGTTCTGTCATGGTCATTTTTACACCCGAAGTCATTATCGAGGACGGTCCTGTTGCATCGGTCATCAATGAGTTTGTTCTATATGGAGGGGTTTTTCGTAGATTGTCGGATTTTGATCGTTTCTTCTTCCATAGCCTTACGCACGGTTGTCGGGAAACCCGAATTAGATACGCCATGTTTAGATATCAAATAATTAATACTCAATCAAAAACACTGATACAACTGTTTAACTGTCCGCAATTTTTTAAATTTTCTGTATGTGGAATAAATAGTTGTATCAGCAAAAAATCTTTGGAAAGACAAAATGATCAATCGACGAAATGTCGTGTGATACGAAGAAAAGGACAGTGGTTGGGTTCGATTGCATGACCTCTGGAGCAACGTGTTCATAACCAACATCGCTTTACCACCGCCGTGGACTACCAGATAAGCTNTAAGCTTATACGCAGAACGGTGATTCGCTTCCGGCACATAATAGTATTGCAGCCGAGCAATACAATTCCATAATCTATAAATCTGCCGCCCATGGGTGCATAAAAGGACCGTTCGTGTTTCAACCGCCTTTAATATCGAATCCCTAAATTGAAATGACGTGTGATTACGGAACTACGTAAATTGCGGAGGGTCTTACTCCTTTAGTTTTGGGTAAAATCGATCAAATGAAGGACAGAATGATGACATTAGGGGACAGATAACTTGAAGGTTCAGATAGGCTGAGGCTGTTACCATCGGGTTTCGTGGTAATATAACTATATTAGATCAAATGCTTGTATAGGGTTGACTTAGTGAAACTAAATGTTATTCGTGAATGCTTTTGATGAGTAGTCCTTTTTCAGTTAACAGTTTCATCTGACATACTGTTGGCCTGTCGACGCTTGAGTCTCCCTTAATTCGTTATCCACGCGGTCCCCGGAAACCAACAAGTCAAACCTGAGCACTGATCTGACTCTAAGGTCAGTGAATCTGCAACGTCATACTGAAAAAAAGAAAACATCAACCAAAACACGTCATATCATTTGCCGAATCGAGACATCGCTGGCGCCGTCGCGATATCCGAGGATCGGGCATATGCTGCATCGGTTTGGTTGAAGTTGCTTTATGGTACAGAGACTCGGTCAATACAAGAACAGGATGAAGATAGACCGTCGCTGTGCAAACATGGCTGTCTGCGCAGCATTGCACGAATCTTTTGAGACAACCGGATAAGCAATGCTAAGACTAGCCACAGAGTTTTAGGTGATTGCGTTTGTTCACTGGAACAAGTGTCACAAGCAGTAGCTCTTGTGCATCTACTCATTATCATTACAATTTTGGTCTTCATGAATTTCCTATTTTCACCTTGACACAGCATTCCATTCTTCCTGTACCCCTTCATCCAAATGAGAAGCTTAAAGACAGCAACCAAAACGGGCGCTCGAAAGCGCATGGTTGATGGTTGTCAAAACTGAAACTGATATTCCTCTTATGTATTTGTCACATCTTCCTTGCCTAGTCTTTTACTTGTAAGACTAAATCGTCAGGTCTTTTTGCAGAGGTTTGATTGCCGATGCACTTTGAAGTTTTATAATGTGAAGCAATATATCAAGCAACTGAAAACGAGTTTCGATTACTTAGACACCATCATTGTGTTTGTAGTAATCTGAATCTACACGAAGACGAGCACATCTGTTTAACAAACTCTTCTCGACAGTCGGCTGCATAGAACAGTGTTTTCCTCTAGGCGGCAACTATCTCATTTCCTGAAATTTAACCATACAATTCATTTATTAAAAACCGATTCGGAAGATTGTGATTATTACCATAATCTTTGTCCGTAAAAGATGTTTCGTTCTCAATTCGTCGATGCCACTTGTTTTTCCTCTACGGCACAACAGCCCTTTCTAAGAGAGTGACTTGTTTAGCCGAATTGGCCACACACTTTTTGATGCATCCACGTCTGTATCTTCCTTGTCTCCTTGAATCCTTGAATATTGTAAGTTTTGACGTTATCATCCAAATTCACTGAAAGTATTACCTGGATTCTTCGTTTGTTTTGCGCTGCTCCTATAGACTCTTCTGTCCCGATTTAACTTCATTCGTGATGCCGTCCGAGGCCGATTACCGCGGCTTCCTGAACTACTTTTTCGCTTCTCCTCTTTTTTCTCCACACAGACTTTTGTTCGCACATTCGCCTCAAACTGAAAAATTGAATCGAATTGAGGGTAACCATGAAAGTATTACTGTCACGTCTCCTGATCTAATTGACGCACAGAAACTGGTTCCCTCGGGTTCACCGGCGGATTGTTATGCTACTTCTAGACCCATAAACCTTCATTCTAGAGCTAATTTTTCCCTAGACTACGGGAGAAATCGATGTAGTGAGTTAGAAAAGTGGATAGGGTGAGTTCAGTCGGTCAACCGTGGACGTGCTCAGCGCAATTGACGCGTGAGATAAATGTTCTGAAGTAAAAATAACAGCACTTGAAAGCAGGTAATTTTGTTGTTGTTACTTGGATCAATGTAAGCCACATAACTTGTAAGTTACACAGTTACGTCGTGCATACCTCAAAGAATCTGATTCTTATCGGATGAACTTAGGGTTTTTGTGGCCAAACAGTCAATTTATCTGCTGATCTTCACACTAAGATTCCCAGGCGTGATTATGGGATAAATGAGTTGGCCAGTGTTAAAGGAATTTGAACGTGACCCCTGTACTGATCTAACAGTAACCTACACCACCTGATAAGAATCACCATGGTAACAATTCAGCGTATTTACTCACCGGCTGTCGGATATTTCTGCAGAAAATCAGGGTACAACATGAGGGAACATTGGGGAGAATGCACCCATGAGCCACAGTAGGCACTTACAGCTTTTGATTTCATTTTTGTTTTGCCACTTGTTGCTTCCAATAGAAACTAGAATTGTTACTCCAATGGTTGTCTAATTGTTTAATTTCCTGTGCATGCCATCAGATTTACCCTTTTCTGCTGTATTCCTACACGCAATTGGACTGATCGAGTCGTATGTGCGCATTGCCTGAAATGTGATCAACTTATTCCGATTCCGGAAGTATATGGTGTCGTCCGAAATCCGGTTCGCATTGCCAAATGCCGAAATCTCTGAAGTTTGTTACTTCTCTCTGTGATGCGTTTCCCGGGGATTTGATCGACCTTCCCTGTGTCCAAGACTGTGTTCATAGTCTGGGGCAATCCACGATTCGTGTTTTGTCTGTTTAGACACTGAATCGAACAGGTGTTTGGTGCTCACAGACCAGATTTATTTTGGAGCTTTAATTGTTTGCATGTGCGCACGCCAACTGATGGACAAATGACTGGTCAATTCAGTCACTTCTAACCTGCACAGACGGTCGTCTAATTTGACCGCCGATCGGTTGTTCTCATTTGGATTAGACATTCCTTTCTCCTCGTTCGTTGCTGCTATTAAGTTCACGTTTCTGCCTTCGTATGATTACTTTATCAATCGATAACCCTTGTGGAGCTCAGTCGTTCATCGATCATCTGCGGTTTTGCCTATCTCCATTTGCCCATTTTCTGTTTCTTNTCTCGACTGGGAAAAATTGTTGCCATCGTGTCCACCATGCGCCACATACGTCAACTGGATGGGTAATCGGGAGACGTTAACTAAAACCGTTATACCGCAGTCCAAAGTGAGAGATTATTGTCCATAACTCAGTATGCACCAGTATCCGGTATAACGGTTTTAGTTAACGTCTCTCGGTTACCCATCCAGTTGACGCATGCAGAGTAAATGAGTTATAAAAAAAAAACTGGAACTGCTATCAAGGTTAAAAAACGCATAACTCAGTTAAACTAGGTTTGCTCGAACGTTACTGTCATTCACACTACCCAGTGTTTCTGATCACCTATTTAATTCCTAACTAGGAAGTCTGCTGCAACACATGACTGAGTCTCCGATCAAGGTTTTCTTATCCGTATTCCAGAGTTTAGTCTGACCACACTTACCTTTTCCCAGCTACTGCCTGGGTCGGCTGTTTTTTGTACACATCATGAATATTTACGGTCTCAGTGATTAGTACCGTTGTTTGGTTGGCTCTAGCAGCCTCAATCAAGTGTTTGCTCTGATTATTTTTCGACTCGTTCTTCTCTAAATGTGTCATCGGAATCGAACTGATATTTTATTGCTTTTAAAAGGAACACTTCTCACGTCTCATGTTTTTTTTTAAATTTCTTGTCATCGATTTATCCCCAACATTTGACCATTGGATTTACCAAGGTTTACAGTTCTATAGTATCATGTGCCTACTAAGGATATTGGCACCACCAAGCTTTATCACATTCTATACGTTCCGCTATCAGATTAGTGATGTTCTCATTCATCCATACGAAATTCTTTTCTATAGGATAACTCGTCTGGTGATCTAGGTCCCACTGGTCTGTCAACCGGTGCAAATCCACCGCGAAGTCGATTACAAGGAGCTTCACTACTCAAAGATATCCGTGCCCTAGTGGAGAGTTTGATCTATGGTCATTTGAATGATTGTGTCGACGAGTTCATCAGCCTGATCAATTACAATCAGTCGAACGAGAACACAGACGGGTTCGGTTTGAACAACGGATCGGTGCAAAACAATCTGAAACCGAACGAGCACATTATCGATTTGACCAATTGGTTATCGACCACATTCCAAGCTCTGGCCAATATTCCTCCCAAAGTGGCTCAGACAGCTTGTATTTCCGTGTGCAAACACATTGCTCGTTCACTGTACGAGTTGTTACTCAGTCCTCATGTGAGTTTACTGTGATTGTAAAGCATATTTTCATTACAGCACCACCTCAATCGTCGATCATGGTTTCGGGAAATTTGTAATCAGCAATTGGTATATGTAAACTTGTCTACTGAATCGTATTTATTTTACTACAGTTGCATGGTGTGAGAATGACATCGTATTTCATTTTTCACTGTTTTATTGTTCACTTTGGCTCTCTTATGAATTGGTTCTTCTTTTTATATAGGATCGATCCGCTCTGGGAGTCATTTTTTCTGTTCGCTGTATTCTATTCAACGATATAAAATTGCTGTTTGACCAGCAATCGCACTAATCGTTCGAACATTCGTTTGTTTTGCTCCATCCTATTTGACCAGTTTGATACTTCTTCTATAATCTGGGTCTTTTGGTCATTAAACGCCAGTAGGTAGGCAGAGGCAAAACAGTTTGCTGTACAGCAATTCTCTTGTGTTGATTGTGCCACAGTGTCGGAACAGTACTGTCTAGTTTGACTGACGTGACATCTCGAAAGGTCATCCAGTTTACCGAATGTGCATTCTTAGACTAATGATGTCTCTGTTCGACTACTTTTAATACCACATTCATCTCAGATCGAGTTTGTAGAATTTGGACATTCCAAATATCTGAGATCTAGCTACAGCTTGTATACCGTAATATCTTTTGCTGCGCCGTTAGTTTTCTAAAGCACTTTTATTATTTGGCATTTATAAAAAGGAATATAATACTACTCTCCTAATCGAGCTATCTTCCTGCTTACAGCACAGAGCATAGCCGACTGGTTAGTCGTGTGAACCTATCTGTTTCCTATGGCGTTTTCAAGATAGACCATCATCCACTGCCATTCATCCCGTTGCTAAATTTTCCTTGGTTTTCTTTGTTTCTAAATTCTAATGGCTGTTGTTTTCGGTTGTGCTAACCATACATATCTTGACTCCTCGTGATTGTAATTTGTACGTGTCTATTTTGTATTTGGTTTGTCAAAGAAATATCGTGTCTAAATGTCTCCTGTGAATGATGATGATCATACATCTGGTATCATTCAATTGGCTTGTTTTGCAGATAGTCATTAAACCGTGGCCTATTTTT